TTTGAGCACGGCAAAAGAGATATGGGATGCCGTAAAGTAGACTTACTCGAAGGTGAATGATGCTGCCCATATTTATGAAATCAAGACCAAAATCTCAACCACTAAGCATGGAAATCGGTCAATCACAGAGTACTCTAATCTCTTGAAAGGTCTTTGGCAAGAGATGGGTCATTATCAATGTATTCAAATGAAGTGCAGTTACGATGCAGCAATTCTTAAGAGATTCGTTGAAAAAGGGCGAATCTATGATTTTCTCGTAGGGTTGAATGTGGAGTTTGATGCAATAAGAGTACAAATACTTGGGAAGGACGACTTGCCATCCTTGAATGAGACAATTGCAATTGTTCTTGCTGAAGAAGGGAGAAGAGGAGTTATGATTGAAGCGCATCCAGTGGACGGTTCGGCACTTGTGTCGAAAAATACCAATATGAAGAGTTTTGGTTCGGAGCAACGAAAAAGGGAAGATACTAAACAAGTTGCCCCACCTAGACAATACAACAAGGATTCCTTATGGTGTACGTACTGCAAGAAACATCGTCACACCAAGGAAAATTGCTGGAAACTTAATGGAAGGCCCCCGAATATGAACAAACATTTTACTGAAAGGAATATAAATGAGCAAGGACAAGCACATGTTGTTAGTACCTATTCGGGTAGTGAAGAAGGATCACAGAATTCATTTCTAGCGTTTAATAATAGAGAAGTTGTAGAATTTGTTGGGATCTCTAGAACAACCTTCCTCGGCAGGTACATGCTCTCTTGCATTTTCAGGTATAATCTCTTCTTCTTGTGTTGCTAATGTCTTAGATAAAATTCTTTCAAATCAGTGGGTAATTGATTCGGGTGCTACCAATCACATGACCTGTTCCTCAAAAAATTCTCACTTACACTCCATGTCCTAGTCACCGAAAAATAACCATAGTCAATGGCTCCATTACCACCGTAGCTGGACGGGAGATGTCTATATAAATCCCTCTCTTACACTCCGAAATGTTCACCATGTTCCCAAATTATTTACCAATCTTGTTTCAATTCAAAAACTCACTAAAGATTCCAATTGCGATGTGACGTTTTCTTCCTCCAATTGTGTGTTTCAAGAACAGGGCACGAAGAGGATGATTGGAAGTGTTAGTGAGAGAGATGGTCTTTACTACCTGGAAGAACCAAGTGAAAGAATGAGAGTTGAGAATTCCCTGCCTTTATCATTTTTGTTCGAGTCTACTAGTTCCAATAAAGACAAGCTTTGGCTCTATCATCGTCGCTTAGGTCATCCATCATTTAGTGTTCTTAAAATTATGTTTCCATCATTGTTTAAAGGGTCAGTTGAAAATTTCCATTGTAACGACTGTGAACTTGCTAAGCACAAACGTACCTCTTTTCCCATTAGTAATACAAGAACTCTCTTTCCTTTCACTCTTATTCATAGCGATATTTGGGACCATCTACGGTCCCTAATATCTCTGGGGCTAGGTGATTTGTGTCCTTTATTGATGATTGCACTCGTGTGTCATGGATATATCTTATGAAAAATAAATCAGATGTTAGCACGGTGTTTCCAAATTTCTATAACATGATCAAAACTCAATTTGATGTGGGAATTAAGAGATTTCGATCCGATAATGCAAAGGACTTTTTTAATCAGTTTCTCTCCCCTTTCTTTCAAAAATAGGGAATCATCCATGAATCCTCTTGTGTTAGCACACCCCAACAAAACGGGGTGGCCGAACGAAAGAACGGTCATCTTCTTGCTATCACTAGAGCATCTTTATTCCATAAAAATGTCCCAAAACAATATTGGCGAGAGGCCGTTTTAACCGCTGCCCATCTTATCAATCGACTGCCGACAAAAGTTCTTGATTTCAAAAGTCCTATGGAATCTATCACTAAATTTTTCCCGAATTTCAGCGCTTCAAACAATCTCACTCCTAGAATATTTGGAAGTGTCACATTTGTTCATGTTCATTCCCAAAATAGAGGAAAACTCGATCCACGTGCTATCAAGTGTGTTTTTATTGGTTATTCCTCCACACAAAAGGGGTACAAGTGTTTCCATCCGCCTACAAGAAAATTCTTTGTGTCTGCCGATGTCACTTTTGTCGAAACAGAGTCATATTTCTCTAATTCCTATCTTCAGGGGGAGAAGTTAAGTGAAGATAGGGAAAAAGATTTGTTTCTCCTTAGTCGTCCTTGTCAACCCGAGTCTTCTCAACCCAAATCTTCTCAACCCGAGTCTTCTACACCTAATGTTGAGCCTTCAAATGTTGAATCTGCACCTGCTCAATATATGTTCGAACCCGGTACACCTAAGTCAAATGGAATGGTAAAAGGAAAGGGAAATCAAGAATCCATTCGGCCATTACAGGTTTATTCAAGGAGGCGAGCACCAATCTCTCAACCTACGCATGTTCAGTCACCTGTTCGAGCTATTGTTCAAACATATGAGGTAAATCCCACTCCTACTGAGACCATTACTCAACCACCCAATCCTACCGAATCCACCAATGAAATAGTTGAGCCAAATGATTGTGACCTGCCGATTGCTCTTAGAAAAGGAGCCAGAACTTGCACAAAACATCCGTTATACCTGTTCATGTCCTACGAGAACTTGTCCCAGAGTTATAGAGCCTTCCTTAGTAAACTCCATGAAATTCCCATCCCTAGAAATTTATCTGAGGCATTAGGAAATGAGAAATGGGAGAATGCTATGAAAGTGGAGATAGAGGCATTAGAGAAAAACAAAACGTGGGATTTAGTCAGATTGCCAAAAGGAAAGAAGTTGGTTGGATGCATATGGGTTTTCACCATTAAGTATAAGTTGGACGGGTCTGTGGAGAGATATAAGGCAAGGTTGGTTGCCAAAGGTTATACCCAAACCTTCGGTATAGATTATGTTGAAACCTTTGCCCCAGTTGCAAAAATGAACATAGTACGTGTTATCTTATCCTTGGCTACTAATTTTGGATGGGGTTTACAACAGTTTGATGACAAAAACGCCTTCTCACACAGCGATCTTGAAGAGGAAATTTACATGGAGGTGCCTCTTGGATTTGAGTCTAAAGAAGGGATGGTGTGCAAGCTAAAGAAGGCCCTATATGGACTCAAACAGTCACCAAGGGCTTGGTTTGGGAGATTTGCTAAAGTAATGATCACCATGGGATATAAACAGAGTCAAGGAGATCATACTTTGTTTGTGAAACACTTGAAGTCAGGGGGAGTGACGGCATTATTGGTGTATGTAGATGACATCATAGTCACGGGCAATGATGAAGAAGGAATACAAAGTTTAAAAAGGTGCTTGGAGAGAGAATTTGACATCAAAGAGCTTGAGAAGCTAAAATACTTCCTAGGTATTGAAGTGGCACACTCAAAGAAGGGAATCTTCATATCGCAGCAAAAATAAGTGTTGGACTTGTTAAAGGAAACCGGGAAGCTGGGATGTAAACCAGTTGATACACCGATCGAGTTCAACCACAGGTTATGTGATGCTCCAGAGGACACGGCAGTGGACAAAAATTCCTATCAAAGGCTTGTAGGAAGACTGATTTACCTGGCCCACACAAGACCAGATATTGCTTTTGTAGTGAGTGTTGTTAGTCAGTTTATGCACAATCCGAAGGAGATGCACCTCAATGCTGTGCATAGAATTCTACAGTACTTGAAAGGCACTCATGGAAGAGGGATTTTATTCAAGAAAGGACGAAGTATGACACTAGAAGCTTACACTGACGCGGATTATGCAGGCTCTCTAGTTGACAGAAAATCAACATCAGGATATTGCACCTTCCTAGGGGGTAATCTTGTGACTTGAAGGAGTAAGAAACAGAGTGTGGTGGCAAGATCGAGTGCATAATCGGAATTCAGGTCAATGGCACTTAGGATATGTGAGTTACTATGGCTTAAAATAATTCTAGATGATCTACGAGTTGAATGGGAAGGTCCGATGAGACTATACTGTGATAATAAGTCAGCTATAAGTATTGCCCACAATCCAGTGCAACATGATCGAACGAAGCACATTGAGGTGGATACACTTTATAAAGGAGAAACTCGGCAGTGGTCTAATTTGTACTCCGTTCATCTCAACCAAAGACCAGCTAGCGGATGTACTTACAAAGGACTCCCAAGCACGGCTTTTCAGAATATTATCAGCAAGCTTGGAATAGAAGATATCTATTCATCAGCTTGGGGGGGAGTGTGGAAAGATACAGTTATCCTAGTGAAACCATGTAGGATAGTGTAAAATATAATCCCTAATTTCTAGGGATTAGTTAGCTGTATATATTTTCTGATTTGATATGATTAGGATTGTCTCCTGGTTGATAGGGTAGTTTCCTATTTTACTGGTTTAACTTTATGGCAGCCCTATACTATATATAACTTATGTACCTCTGATTATTTCAATAATACAGAAACAATTCTCCAGTTACAATCTGTGACATTTTTAGCTAGGGAAAGTGTACCCCGACTCTGATACCATGTGAGCAAGAATGGTATTTGTTGACGGTTGATTTATTTTCATTGTATTTCATTCATAAAATGTAGTGTACAATAGGTGGTTTATATACTACAACCGAACAATCTAAAGAGGGAAAAAAGTCCTAGAAATCTATCAACAATAAAGTCCTAAAATTATTCTAAACCATCCTAGGTCAACTATGATACAAATCAATCACAATCAATCACAATCAATCATAATCCAGGATTTCATCAGACTTGCATCTATAATAAAGCAAACCCCAAAAAGAAAAAAGAAAAAAAAAAAAAGAAAGATTAAAAAGAAAGTTATTTTGATCCCTTAAGCCAGACACCACAGACAAGTCCATTCTAGGCAAGGACCAACACAAATATTGGTCCACGGAAAAATAAGAAGTCATAATAATAAATGTGAAATCATACAGTCACCGGATGTATTATGATAATTGTAAGGAAGATTTGTGTCCTATCAGGAAAGTTCCCATGAGTTTACAACAGCGTAACTAGAGCACACTTGCGTCTTCTACCTCATCTTTAGCATACACCTCAGTATTGAATGCAATCTCCTTGCCATTTTCATTTTTTCCAAATCCCCTTGGCTTTCCAAAATATATACCTATTTTTAGCAGAAACTAGATTGAAATTATCAATTGAAAGAAAGGAGAGAACTGAAAGAAGTAAAGCCAACCCGTATTGCCAGTCAAAAGATGTATGCTAACCTCCAGTGAGCTCTCTTACAACCATGACATCAACACCTTCAGCGATCTCTTTCTTCAAAGTTGAAGCGTCCACCAACTGAAAAGGTAAATAACAAAGTATGATAAGCCTCCATCAGAACAAGTTTCAAAATAAAAGAAGCACAAAAGCCTGCAAACAAATATTTGAAGAAACAAAAGCACACTCCCCCCCTACCCCCTTTATTGGGTATACTCACCTGCAATATGGTGTTTTTTTTTTCCCCCACAATCATTGATTACCAAGATAACCAGACAATTTCAAGAACTTCAAACACCAAGGAAACAACAAGAGAGAGAAAAATGCACTAGACCCTTCTCTCACTAAATTCCCTTAGCAAGAGGGAAAGGATCTCACCTGTGGTAAAACGGTTGCGGGTCTCAAATTTGCAAAAACTTCAAGGCCTTCTCTAATCTGAAGTAACCCAGTCTCTGGTTTCAGATGCTTTTCATTTGAGTCCCATTTATACCTTATCAAGCAACAAATTAATTAATAAAATGACACCATTTACACATGAAGGAACACACTAATTCATACGAGAAAAAATTACGGAAAGTGGAAGAAAATCACCCTCCAATTGCTCCAAGAAGAACCGCATCAGATTGCTTCGCCGCCGAAAGGGTCTCCTCCGGTAAAGGGACGCCAGTCAAGTCCAAGGCAGCTCCACCCATGGGCATCTCCTGGAACCTAAATTCAATCCCTAATTTACATAATACATACAATTAGGCATTAATTGTAGAAAGATCTTAAAAATTAAAAAAATTAAAAATAAAAAACCTAAACCCTCAAGAAATTATCAACTATGTTCAAGCATTGAGATAATGGATGAAAATAGAGATACCAGATGCCAAGTTTTTCTGTACCCCAATAAATAAAGGACTATAATGTGCGGGGAAAAAAAAAAAACACTGCAAAAATCTTAAAACTCCGTTTGGCTAATGAGAAAAGGCGGAATGATGAACAGACACAAAAGGAAAATTAAACGCGTTTGGAACTCGTTCCAAAATGATTTTGTTTTTTGTATGAAAATGAAAATAAAAACATTTTCAATCTCAGACATAAATCATTTTTGAAAATGCGTTTGGTAGTTTTATCAAGAGATTATTTTCAGTGTAAAAAAACTCATTAATGTTTCTCTTTCTCTCTCTGCTCGAGAGAGGAGAAAACGAAAATAAAAAATGAAAAACGATTAAAAGTCGTTTTTCATTTCTCTTTTATTTCTCTCTCATTTTACACTAAACCAAAAAATCGTTTTCAATTCCGTTTTTTGCCTTTATTGCGTTAAACACCGTTTTGAATACATTTTCATTTTTTTTCTCAATAAATGTGAAAAACAAAAATGGGATCAATTCCAAACACGGCCGTCCGAGACTTTTACCACGTTTCTGAGTAAAGCATAGCCTAAATTGAAACTTAATTCAGTCTATTGGTTCCTTTCATAGTCAATGCAAATGTAAAAATAAAAAGTAATAAAAAAACCTAAAAGTACTCGTTCCTTTTTCTTTTTTTTTTTTATCCCTTCATTTTCTAGGCTACCAAACAAAGGAAGAATACACAATGGAATTCAGAGAGAGAGCGGGAGAGACCTTCAAGAAAGGCAGCGAGGTTAAGAACGTTCTTAGCGACGGAGATAACCTCGGGGCCGATGCCATCGCCGGGCAGCAAAGTGATGGTGTAGCGCTTAGATGGGGAGGCTGCGGAGCACCTGATCCTATTCCTGATCCTATTCGCCTTGGCGGCAGAGAATTTGGGCACGGAGTTTGATAGGAAAACGGGGCTGAACGTCTTGATGTTGAGTTGCAGACAAGCCGCCATTGATGGTTGAACGTCTCGAGTCTGAGAGTGGTATTTTGACAAAAACACTTCTTTCAGCTATTTTTCCCTAAAACAACTTGCGTCAACCGACAAGAAATAGAACATCCTCAAATTAAAAAACAAACGACAACAAGCTATATACATCCTCCATTTAGTTCAGCGTTTTCTCCCACAAACGTCCCTATTTTCCCTTCCACCATCCACCAATTCAACGTCCATGCCAGATTAATTAACTTAATAACTGTATAGTTTGTTATATATTGACTACAAAAAAGAACTCGTCATTATCCCAGCTGAAGCGAAAACTAAAGTAGCCTGCACATGTCATCTACCTTTATAAGCAAGACTGTTCAGTAAGCAAAAATATATCTCGGGAAAAAAAAAAAAAAAAGATAGACAATTGGAAATAGCTAAATACCATAAACCAACAAGTATTATGTGCTTTAATATCATCACAATCCTAATCAAAGACCAACCTTTTTTACTGCCAAATTTTCTCACGCTTTCAACGAAAAATTCTTGCGAAATATGACTAATGTATTCCAAATTATTAGGAACTCTAAACGGCAAAAGTAAACCTGAATCAGATAACATAGCGGCGAAGTTCAAGTCGAACTAGAGTTTGGCAAAACAAATATTGATGAGGGGAAAAACAAAAACAACAAAACCAACACCATCATTGGAATACCAAAATGTCTGTAAATCTACTGATTTCTTAAAACCAAATAATTCACATAAAACGGGGTTCTGGCACAAGACCAAAACAAGTCACCGAAACTCGATTCCTTTCAAAGGCAAAGGAAGTGCTTCCAAAATGCATGAACACACACATTGTAATTCTCCATTAATGAATTCAAAAAACACCACCACCAAACACAATTTCCCACAAACAAAAATTTCTTCGTTTTCCAGAATCAAAAAGAGGCGTTAACTAATAAGAAATGAAAAGAAAAGATGCAAACGAAAGAGAATCACAGGTTTATTGGAGTCCCGAAATCAATATTACGCAATCTTCTTCTGCAAAGCCTTTGCGTGTTAGGGTTTTTGTTTTTGTTTCGAGGAACCAAATGACTGAGAGTATGACTACAACCCCAAAAAGTCCCAGGTCTCACGTCTCACTCTCTCTCAACCCTACAAACCAAGAAAAAAGGTTCGTTTTTAATTTTCCTTTTTTCTGTTGACAGTTTTGCATTGAGGAGTGTGCTAATTGCAGACGCTTTTTCAGAGATTAGTAAATAACATGGGTCATCTTATTTTTTAAAATAAATTTATTTAGAGTTGTTTAATTTATTAATTTAAATTTTTAATTTAAATTAAAATATAATTTTATGTGATAATTTTTTATTATAATAAAAAAATTAAATATAATTATTTTTAAAAAAAGTTATTATAATAAAAATTAAATTTTAAATTTAAATTGATAAAATAAATAGGACGTAATAAATCACTTCTTTTAAACCTATTTACAAAAGTGACATCGCTTAGAAACCCATTTTCCTTCGTCTATTCCAAACCTTTATCAAATGGTCATTTTCTTGTCTCTTCTTCTCTCTCTTCGTTTATGAATCCTCTGCTCAACCTTTCTTTTGATTCCAACCTCATTAAGCTCAAGAACAACAAACGAATCACAATAGCGCATGCAAGTGATTTGGTCCCTCCCCCAAATTGAATCCATAACATTTACTTTCATTATCCCAATTTTTTTCCTTTTTTCAGAAAAATGATTTTGTAATGAAAACCCATAATCAAACATCATCTTCTAAGGACTCAACGGAGAACATTAATACAAAGAAAAAAATGTGATAATTTTTTATTATAATAAAAAAATTAAATATAATTATTTTTAAAAAAAGTTATTATAATAAAAATTAAATTTTAAATTTAAATTGATAAAATAAATAGGACGTAATAAATCACTTCTTTTAAACCTATTTACAAAAGTGACATCGCTTAGAAACCCATTTTCCTTCGTCTATTCCAAACCTTTATCAAATGGTCATTTTCTTGTCTCTTCTTCTCTCTCTTCGTTTATGAATCCTCTGCTCAACCTTTCTTTTGATTCCAACCTCATTAAGCTCAAGAACAACAAACGAATCACAATAGCGCATGCAAGTGATTTGGTCCCTCCCCCAAATTGAATCCATAACATTTACTTTCATTATCCCAATTTTTTTCCTTTTTTCAGAAAAATGATTTTGTAATGAAAACCCATAATCAAACATCATCTTCTAAGGACTCAACGGAGAACATTAATACAAAGAAAAAAGATTTCTTAAAAAAATAGAAAAAGAGACCAAGGAATGATAGTCCTCATTAACGACGATCAGTTTTCTTTAATTCTCTAATTCATTTTAAATGGTTTTTGTATCTGATAAGAATAAATTAGCATCTACAAAAGAGTTATAATAGAGTCTGTATTTAACACTCATCTTTTACATTTATGTTTCTCATTCATTTTTTATCTGATTTTATTTTAAGTTTAATTTTCTCTAACAACAAAAAAAAAATGTTTGGAATGAAAAAGAAGAAAATTACGCTTCATGGTGTAAAGTGGGTAAATAAATTAGAGGATTAATTACAAAAATGTCACTGAATTATATTCTTTATAACACTTTGCCATTTAAAATTTAAAACGTAATATTCATTCTACCTAAACAACGAAATTTTAACAAAAAAAAACCCACTCTATTAGTATTTTTTTTTACTGAAATTAATATTTAATTTGTTATTTTGAGGATATTTTAATAATTCTATGGTTTAGAATTTAATTTGAATTTACTCTGATTTAAATATACAAAAAAAAACTGCATAAATTTTTTTACTCTATCCAAAAAAATCATGAAATTTTTAACTTACATTCAATTAATAATTAATGTATCATAATTAGTTTTAAATGTAAACTAAATTTAAAACCATAGAGCCACTAAAATATTCTAAAATAACAAATTAAATATCTTTTATAGTTTAAAAAATTTAACGTAGAAGCTTTTTATTAATATTTTATTATTTAAAAGAAATAAATATTACGTTTTAAAAATTAAAGAAGAAAGCGTTATAAAAAATATAATTAAAAGAGGGTCTATAATTAATCTTATATTATAAGTCGTGAGCACACGTGCGTTAAAGATGGCAATATGTTGTTTTGCTTTCAGAGAGAACGACAAGTTAAGTACTAATTTTGTCCAAAGTCCGCGAACAACATACTTCTTACATAAATCAGAAATTAAGGACCGTTTTGTTTAGGAGCATTTACAAAATAGTTTTGTTTTGGATATACAAATGAACATATATATATATATATATATTTTGAAAATAATGAAGAGTAGTTTTAAAATTTGAATTTAATTCAACAAAAGAAAAATTGTATTTATTTCTATGCGATATGATTTTAAGCATGAGAAAAAAAAAGTTAAACTATGTTTTAATATATTTCTGAAAGTATGTTTCGAGTAAATGAATAACCTATTAATAAAAAAATTAGTATGTTATATTTTATATTTAAATAATTAACCCTTAGTAATTAATAATTAATTAGTGAATAATATTATTATTAATTACTCATAACTAGTGCTGAAATTTTGAACGGGCCGCCCGCGACCACCGAAAATTCTGACTTTTTACCCAATGACCGAGCTCGCTCGTGCCTGAATTTTCAGGCTGCCCGACCCGACCTGAAGAACATCTTGGACGGGCTTTGGGCAGCCTTTGGCTGCCAGTGCCCGGTCGGACTGCCGAAGCCCGATCGAGTTGCCCGGATTTTTTTATATATTTATATATTATTATTATTATATATATATATTACAATTTAAAATTTGAAATGAACACACAAACTATGTAAAAAAAATTATTTCTTTATTGATTTTTAAATTTGTAATTCATGATTGTCTCGTTAAAAACCTTACTAAGAAAAACTCAATTGGGATAAAAACTTCGTAAAGAAAAAAGAGTGCAATCATTGTGGGACGAATTACAAATTTGACGAACTTACAAAGTCTATACAAGATTACAATAACACTGTACAAAGTAAATAAATATTTACAAATTACAATAATAGAATTTAATTTGAAGTAGAAGGGTCGTCTTGAAAATTAAAAGTTAATCTATTAAATTCATCGATTCATTCTTGGCTTGCCGGTGAAATTATATCGTGTAAGCGTTGGTCAGAACGATCCCAATCCTTGATGCACACCAAAGCTTCAACAATATCATGTTGCAATGCGTTTCTTCGTTCTTTAAGTATTCAGCTGGTTGTACTGAATGCTTGTTCAGCTGAAACAGTGGAGATTGAGATCGAAAAAATATCCATTGTCAGTCGAGGTAGGATCGGCCAAGTTAATGCTCGTGCCCTCCACTACTAAACCAAATCAAACATTTCACTATTGTCTACATCTAAGCCCTTACTCAGGTACGTCATTAACTCGTTGAAGCCACCGCTGTTGCCGCCACCTCTTGATGAAGATCTACTCCCAGATTCTTCTTGACCTTGAGTCGTCATCGTCGTCTTCTTCTTCTTCTCTTCAACCTGAAAACATTCAAGAATGAATGCGGATTGTCGTCTCGTTGTTGCGGTTGTTCTACACTATGTGTGTTTCTAACCCTACTTTCATAATAGCTATAGAGATATAATATTTTTTCCTTTATAATAGGAAATTGGTCAGAAGTGTCGATATCTAAAAAGTCACCTAAGTTTTCTAATCCACTTTCTAAAGCATCTAATTTTAATCTAGGGTCAAAAATAATACCGAAACCATACAACATTGGTAATTTAGACCAATATTTTTTAAACATCTTTTCTATAGAAGTGATATGAACTCTTAAAATCTCGTGTGTCCTAAATTCACTAAATAAAATAACTATTCTTAAAAGTTCTCCTAACGCTAATGGTGACGTTGGGTAATAAGTTTCATTAAGCTTTAAAGTAACTTCGTGAAATCTGCCTAAAAAGTTATACAAGAGTTCGGCAATTTACCAATCAGTTTCGTCTAAATCCTGGTCCTAATTTTGCACTAACAAAGTTTGTTATAGCATCTTTATAGGGGATGCATTATTCAAGCATTATATAAGTGGAGTTCTATCTTGCGGGTATATCATTATTACCGAATAAACTTAAATCATTTTCAAAAAGTTCTATTGCTTTAGTATTTACAGTAGTATTATCTAATGTTATGGCCATTACTCTATCCCTTAAACTATATTCATCAATGACAGATAAAATTGTATTATATATTAATTTTGCGGTATGTGATCCTATAACACATTTAAAACATAATATTCTCTTATCTAAATTAAAACCTTTAAAATAATGTCTGGTTACAACTAAATAATCTTTGTTGGCAACGGCGGACAAAATATTCGCCGTTAACGCAACGCAACCACTAGTAGAGTGTAAAAGGTTGATTAGTGCTTCCCTTTCTTATTTATATAATTTTAATGCATCTTTCCTAAGAGTAGTTCTTGAAAAAAATTGTGCATTAGGATTATGTACAATTTTAATATAACGCTGCCAATTTCTTTGTTCGGTAAAACTAAGTGGTTAATCTAATGTGGCTACTAATCGTGCCATTTCCATACGATCTACTTACGGATCGTATTTTCAAGTGGTTAAACCGCCAGTTTGGCACTCAAACGATAATTGTGTTTGGCGGAGATTGGGTCCGCTCCTTGCTTTTGAAGACACTTTTCAAAGTGTCTTCTCAAGTGTGTAGTGTCGTAAATAGTGTTACCTTATAATTTATCACCACAATATTTGCATTGAGCTATATATTTAATGTTACCGTTATTGTCGACTTCCTCGAATGTGTTGAAGTGCTCCCAAATTGTTAAGGTGCGCTTGCATTTCTTCTTAGAACTTGCGACACTTGTGCTAGCACTTCCGCTTGCCTCTCCTCCACGCCCACCACCATTACGTCCACGACCTCTAGTACGTCCACTAGGGCTCAGATTTGTAGTTTCCTCAGCAACTCGTTCTGTAGTTTGCGATTCCTGCATTTGAAAAACATTAGGAACTTGCCCTTTTTCGATGTTGAATTGGGCATCAATGGGAATGTCACCACTATAACCAGAAGAAACAATTATGAAAAATAAGAGAGATTGAGAGCGCTTTGAGAGATATTAAGAGAGATCGAGAGAGATTTAAGCAAGATTAAGAGAGATTTGAGAGAGATTAAGAGAGATTTGAGAGAGATTGAGATAAATTAAGAG